ATTTTTTAAAAAAAACCCCCCACACCACCCCCCCCCCACACTTTTTTTTTTTATACGTTTTTTTGTATTTCGCGCCGTCTCTTTTTTTCCCACCCCCCTCCCCCCCCCCCCCCACAATTTTTCAAACAAACAAAACACCAAACAAACACAAAACAAAAACAAAAAAGCCAAAAGGATTTAAAATTCTCTCCCAACCAACCCCCAAAACCAGGTACCCCTCCCCGTTCCAACCCCCCCCCCCCCCCCCCACCCCCAAAAAACGAAGCAAAATCGACTTAAACCCAGAACAAAACATTCCTCCTCCTCCTCCTCCTCCCCACCCCCCCAAAAAAATATTCATTTTAAAAATAAAAAATTAAAAGCACATTAGCTACAACAACAAAACAACAGCTTCAAAACGCTCTCCCTCAGATCCAAGACTCCACCACCGGACTCCCCCCAGCCCTCAGAGATCTCCGACACTACCACCTACGCCTGTGCCAACTGCTGAGCATTCTGGACCGTTACCTGCGCGTGTACCTGGGCAGCCTGTATCTGTGCACAGTGGTCAACGTGAGTTTCCTCATGTACCACATGGTGTTTAACCAGCTGGACACCGTCAGTGTCTTCGTGAGCCTGTTCTGGTTGGTGTCACTCTTCACGGGCGTCTCCGTCATCTCCATCTCTGCCTCACGCTTGCACGATGCGGTAGGTAGCGCTGTCTGTCTGTGTGGCTGGTGGGGGAGGGGGGGGGGATTGTTTTTTTCTGCAAACACCTTTGGGGGGTCACAGTTCATCTTCTAAAATATTGCAGGCCCATGTGTGAAAACAATAGTTACGAGTCCTCGCCTAAACCCCTTTTTCAAAGCCTAAAAAAAAAATTTGAGAAAAACTTGTAAAATTATTTTTACAACAACGACAAAAGAAAAAACTACCCTAAGGGTTGTTTTAATTGGACGCAACACAAAAAAGGGAAAAAAACTAAACCAGCAAATCTGACAGCAACAAAAAGCAGCCCTGAAGAGCAGAAAAAAACTTTGTTTTTACTAAGTACTCTGCGCTAAGCAAAAGATAATGGACCGAAGTTTGAAAAGCAATTTTACACAAAAAGAAAAACAACAACAACAACAACAAAACCAAAAATAATTGTCATAATGAATACTCGGAAAACAAACGAAAAACAAAATTATTATAGAAACACACAAAAAAACTTACTCGAGTGTACCTGGGCAGCCTGTATCTGTGCACAGTGGTCAACGTGAGTTTCCTCATGTACCACATGGTGTTTAACCGGTTGGACACCGTCAGTGTCTTCGTGGGTCTGTTCTGGCTTGTGTCACTCTTCACTGGCATCTCCGTCATCTCCATCTCTGCCTCACGCTTGCACGATGCGGTAGGTAGCGCTGTCTGGCGGGGGGGGGGGGGGGTGTCTTTTTTCTGCAAACACCTTAGGGGTGGGAGTCACAGTTCATCTTCCAAAATATGGCAGGCTCATGTGTGAAAGCAGTAGTTACCACTCCTGCCTCCCGTTTCCACTCCCAACACGTTTCCCAAGCAGAGCCCTAAGGAGACAAAATTGTGAGCACCACGTCAAAATTCATTTTTGCAACAACAAAAACAACAGCAAATCCAAACAAATTAGAAAAAGAAGGAAAAAATTGGACTCAACGAATCACCCCCCCCCCCCCACAAGATAAATTTGACAACAATGAAAAGTAAGAAAATGTCTTCGTTTGTACTTGGCTCTGTGTACCAAACAAAAGATAATCATCTAAAGTTTGAATAGCAATTTTACAATAAAAGAACTAAAAACAATCGTCATAAGGAATACACTGAAAACAAACTATAGACATTACAAAAACAGAAGAAAAAAACTGCTCGGGTGTGACCTGGGCAGCCGGTACACTGAAAAAGTGCACACAGCACCATCACCATCACCATCACCATAACCAGCACCATCAGTATCAGCATCAGTTTTCAACACCATCGCAATAACAAGAAAAACGACAGCCACAATCACCACTGTCACTACCACCACCATCACCACCACCACCACAACCACAATTACACCAACAAGTTATAATAGTACTACTACTACTACTACTACTATTACTATTACTACTACTACTACTACTACTACTACTACTACTACTACTACTACTACTACTACTACTGCTACTACTACTACTACTACTACTGCTGCTGCTACTACTACTACTACTACTACTACTACTACTACTACTACTACTACTACTACT